TCATCCCATTGGGATTCTGATAATTACTTGGCTTTGTATTTACAGAATGGCTGAAAATTTCAATGGCTGCAAAATATGAGAAAGGTAGAAATAGCAACAGAGATCATTAGAAATTGTAGTGTTACTGTTACTGACCCAGGTGTTTGAACTCTTTATTTTTCTTTTTTTAAATAGATTCTGCTCCTTTTAAAAATATATATATTTACTTATTTATTTTTGGCTGTGCTGGGCCTTTGTTGCTGGTGAGCTGTCTCCAGTTTTGTGAGTAGGGGCTGCCCTTCACTGTGGTGCACAGGCTTCTCATTGCGGTGGCTTCTCTCGTGAGGCAGAGGCTCTAGGAGCTCGGCCTCTGCAGTCGCTGCACAGTCATTGGTGCACAGGCTTAGTTGCCCCATGGCATGTGGGTCTTCCCGGACAAGGGACTGAACCGGCATCCCCTGCATTGGCAGGCGAATTCTTAATCACTGGACGACCAGGGAAGCCCCCTGGACTCTATTTTAGTCAATAGGTTAATTCTCTGAAGTCCTACTAAGTCACCCAAGGCGGGAGTTCCAGGCCACATGGGCTGTGCTTGCATTTCAAGCCTCACGTGCTGGATTTGAGCCCAGCAGAAACGCACAGGAGAGGCTGGACAAACAAAACTACATGAAACACAGATCCCTTTAAATCCACTGATCAAGCCTTAACATGTAGCAGCAACAGACACTGTCTATTACAGACAAGAAACAGAGAGATGAGGTCACCGCGCGTTGTCCCTGGAGGACTCTGTCCAGCCCTGCTCCTCTCTTAGATGCCTCTCCTGCCAGCGGGAGCTGGGGGGTCGTGAAAACATGACCCCACAGGGAGTGTCCAGAGTGAGAGGGACGGCAGTGTGGGTGTGAGGACCAAGGGAGGGGAGGAGGGAGAAGGGACAGAAAAGACTGAGAGAGAGAGGCTGCTGTTTCAACCTGGGCCGTGGGCGTCGATTCAAGCGCCAGTCCCTTTGCTTCCAGAAAGGGCCAAGCACCCTGTCCACTGCCCCCCGGGGTGATGGAGCCTGGACACCAGCCAGTTACATGTTTCTCCTGCCTGTCTGCCCCTCGTCAGGTGACCGCTGCTGGCCAGAGGGAGCAGGTGTCACAGCTGAGAGGAGAGAAGCTGTAGCTGCCCGACATCTACCCCCTTGGAAGGAGAGGACAGGAGGAGGAGACGAGAGAGGTCAGGAGAGGGCCGGGACAAAGCGGAAAGAAGCTGTGCCTGAGCACGGGTGCCGAGGTGCCGGGGTGAGGAAGCAGACTTACCGAACGGGGAGACGCTGAAGCAAGGGGTCCTGGCCACTCAGGGAAGCTTGTTCGGTGGTCCCGGAGGTGCCTGCATCCTCTCCCAGGGAAGGGGCAAAGGCCCCACGGACGGCCCACCAGGGTGGTCACCAACTATAGCACTGACCCGAGTCCTTGGACTCTTTGATCAACAGAAATCAACGAGGCCAGACGAGAAATTCAGGTGAGGCTTATTGGAGCGCCTGCCGCATGCGCAGCGGGAACAAGCAACAGGTGGCCTTGCAGCTCCTAGGGTGCAGGCTGGGCCCTTAACTAGGGCAGGTGGGGCCGGGGGTGGCTTGGGCGGTCTGCCTGCCCGCTGGGTGGGGCGGTTCGCAGAGATATCTCACGCAGCACCCAGCTTTAGCTCCCGCACCTCAGCCATGGTGGTTGGTTTGTGGCCGTCTGCAGCTCATTTTCATGATTGCCCCCACGTGTGTGCCCTCGCATTTTTCCAGGTACAAGCACTCCGGTAAATAGTCCAGGGTCCCAGCCTGTCCCATTACTATAAAATAGCAACAAAAAGGGAAAATCTGGAGGGTGAATAAATGTAAGACTGAATTTTTCCCTGGTTATCAAAAGGAAGAGCTCTTTTTGCCCCCTTTCTTAAGACTTTTCCTAGGGAAAATTCATATTTGTAAATTCTTCCTCTGTCCTTTTGATAGGTATGCAAATGTTTTTAAAAGCTAAATAAGCTTTTTGCTTGCATGCTCGGTTGCTTCAGTCGTGTCTGACTCTTTGTGACCCCACGGACTGTAGCCCACCAGGCTCCTCTGTCCATGGGATTCTCCAGACAAGAATAGCCATTTCCTCCTCCAAGGGATCTTCCCCACCCAGGGATCGAACCCGCACCTCTTGTGTCTCCTGCGTTGGCAGGTGGATTCTTTACCACTCAGCCACCTGGGAAGCCCAAAATAAACTTTTGACCGGAATTAAAACTCAGAGATTTTCTTCCCAGAAAGACCACCTCTTTTCAATGTCAACATAAAGGGACTGCTGTAATAAAATCCACAGAAGGGGCAGCATTTATTCCTCACGCTTGAGGGGGTTGAAAGTCCAAGATCCTGGGGACAGAGGACACGCTGTTGCAGCTGGGGAGGGCCCACTTCCTGGAGCATAGCCGGCTGGGCCCTCACACGTGGAAGAGGCTGGGGACCCTGCCGGGTCTGTTCATCTCTGACAAGGACACTAACCCATACACGAGGGCTGCACCCTCAAGACCTAATCCCTCCCAAAGGCCTTACCCGCTGATACCACACACTGGCACGAGGGTTTCAGAGCAGGACCTGGGGGGTGGGAGGACGCAGCTTCCCTCGCTCTGTGGCCAGCTTCAGCACCAGGAGGCTCCAGAAGCAGGCACCGCAGGCTAAGTCCCCAGCCAGATCTCTAACCTGACGCTTGTCACCCAAGGAACGTGTAATCGGTTACCTTCACCAGAGACAAAGGTTAGAACCAGCCAGGCTGCGAGGTCTTGACACAGTCCCTGGGCTCTTGTGAACTACAGAACCAGTGTTGGAAGCACCAGGCTTGGAGCCCAGAGGCCTGATCTCAGGATCTGGGTGGGGGGAGGAGGTGATGTGAGCTTACCTGAGCAAGGAATCTGGCATCAGAGATCGTGTGTTCGAGGTCCCGCTCCTCTCTGACTAGTTTTCTCAATGGAGACGTGTCGTTTCTCTAAACTTCTGATAAAAGCGGGTCCTTGATGTCCTCAATGCCCCGGGTGGGTCCCAGGCTCTGGGGAGATGCTTTAAGAGCTGTAAGACACAAGGCAAATGTGGCTCAGTGTGATCCATCTGGCCTCTATAGAGTGCTCGCCTGGCCCGCCCACTGGGCAGGCTCCCTTCTGTCCAGAGAGCAGCAGAGCGGTGCACTGCAGTTCCTTGCAGCCCTAGGGGTGAGGGCTTCCAGCTAGACCACCCCCTCCCTTCCTGACTCCTCAGAGACTCCTCCACATCCTGCGCCTGCCAGCCCCAAAGCCTGCGAGGCTATGTAGCCTGTGTGTCCACTGGACGACAAGAGAACAACCCAGGGAGATGCTTCTGGAAACCGTCCTCAACAAACACACATGGTCTGGGCCCTGCCTTCACCTCTGACCCCAACCCCAGAAGTTCCAGAGTCACCCCAGCCCTCCATCTCCCCAACCCGTCCCTGGCCAGCCATTGGGATTTCTCTGACTTGTGCTGTGGAGCTGGGTCCCAGACCACGCCCTTCTGCCTGTCTCCCAACTTTGCTTCCCAGAGCTGGTCCGACACCTCAATTTAAGCACAGCTAACCCTAAAGGAATCTCCCAGTTCGGCAGGGGGACACCAGCTGGGGGTCAGGAGTTTGGAGGCTCTCCTGCCATCAGCCACCAGGGCAGCGTCAGCTGAGATGTCCCCTCTCTGGGTTTGCATCTGCAAAGGACAGGGTTCCAACGCAGACTCAGTTGCTGTCCTGCTGAGTGGGGGCTGGGCAGGACCAGGGCAGCAGATGCTTGCCAGGTGCTGGCCTGCAGAGAGGTCCTGGCTCCTCCTGCCTCTGGCTTCAGCAGTCACTCCCCATCCACCTCCACCCTCGGATGGAAACCAAATGACAACCTTCTCCAGGGCCAGCGAGGTGGGAGAGACCATGGGAGCAGGACCCACTCCTAGCGGGCAGACAAGCCCTTGGCCCCCTGGTCTCTGGATTTTGGCCCTCTTCCCATCTGCAGATCCCCGTCACGGAGCGCCTGGGCTCACTGCCCAGTCCCCAAAGTCCCGTGGAGGCTGAGCTCTGGAGCTGCTTCAATGATTTACTGGGACGCTGACACTCAAGCACACACGTTTTATTTTTCGTAGGATGCACCCGTTAATCCTTCGCGGTTTAATAGCCTAGAAGGCTCTTCGTGGGGCTCTCCCATCCTCCTTGGGCTTGCCATGGGGCTGCATTCAGGTCTCCTGCCAACGGGCCCAAGGGGTGTCCCCCAGCTTCAGGGGGCGGTGTGGTCCATGGACCTGTTCCCCCGGGACTTTCCTAGAATCTGCGATGAGGGCTGTCGGTATAATTCAGCAACTACTGGTGTTTTTCTTTGGCTCTGACCCGTTGCTGGGATGGCATTCCACAGAGGACATGGACACTGACAGGGCTGGACATCGGGCACGACCACGAGGGACACATAAGGGGCCCCGCTCTCAGGGCACGTGCAGGCTCCCCAGGGCTGCCGTAGGAGGGGAGGCCCCCGTCCTGCTGGGGTAACTTTGGGAGGAGTCTCCGCTCTGGGGTTAGGCCACTGTGTGCTGCCGGGGGCGGGGGGGGCACTCGTCCCATTCTCAGCCCCTCTTCAGGGCTCCTGATCCTGATCAACAGGATCCCCCATCCTGGGACTGCTTCCATCTCTGAAGGGGAGGCTTCAGAATGGCACCTGCCCAGCCCTGCTGCAGTCCCAGGAAAGAAGCCAGGGTGCAGAGGGTGGGCCACGCTCTTGGTGGGAGACCCTGGGCCTGTTCATCTAGGAAGAGAGGCAGGTTTGGGACTGTCTGAGACAGAAACAGCCCAAGGCTTTGTTCAGGCCCCTCCCGGCCCTGAGCCCTCTCGGTTTCTTGGTGACTGTGATTCTGTCACCACCCGGATGGGCCGTTCACCCAGGACAGTGTGGTACATGGGGGCCCTCGGATCAGCACCCCCAGTCCTCTCCCACGTCCGCCCCTCCCCCCATCATCTAGCTCTGGAGCATCCAGGCAGGGGTCACTCCTCCTGCAGCAGGGGCTCCCGGTCCCCCTCCTGCACCCTCTCGTCTTCCTCCTTCTCCATGCAGCCCACTGTGGCCGCCAGCCCGGCACCCACACCTCCCCCGACCACGGCTGCCCCCGTGGCCCCCACCGCAGCTCCCGCAGCCACCATCCCAGCCTCTGCGGCCAGCGCCGCTGCGGCCATGCCTGCGCCTACCACGCCCCCCGCCAGACCCATGAGCCCCGCGCCCACTGCGCCGCCAACAGCAGCCAGGTGGCCACAGAAGCGCACGGTGTAGGAGTCCATGAAGGCCTTGGCCTCAGCCTGCAGCTCAGCCTCCAGGGCCTCTAAGGTCTGCTCCCTCCCGGCGCACAGCAAGGTTGCCCCGTGCCGGGCCAGCAGCGTGTCCTTCTGGGCCGATAGGAGGTTCCGCATGGTGTCCGGCAGTACCCGAAGCGCAGAGAAAATGCGCTTGGTGGCTGCGTCCTGTGATGGAGGAAGAAGGGGCCTGACCCGGAGCCAAGTACCTCCCACCAGACCCCCGCCTGGGCTCCTCATGCCCAATGCCCGGCTCCTCTCCTGCAGGATGCCCAGGCTCCCAGCAGGCCAGGCTCACCTGCTGCCGCACATACTCCTCAAACTCCTTCTTGGCAGCTTCCACTGTCCGCAGGTCATGCAGCTGGGCGGCCATCTGTCCAGGGGGAAAACCCGGCTGCCTCCCTCCTTCGCCCCTGTCCCCTGCTGGTTGCCCGGCTCCAGCCAGAGGGGTCTGGCCCACCTCCCCCACCCTCACGTCCTCCCCTCAGCCCCGTACCTCATCCGGGGAGGTGCAGCTGGGGCCCGTCCTGCCCATCCAGCCCGAGAGGTTCTGTAGAGACAGCGGTGGGGGGTCACGGGGTGCAGGGGCAGTGGGTGTCTGGGGCTCCAGGGGGCTTTCACACCTTGACCTCCTGAGCCAGCTGCTGCCCTGTGAGCAGGCGTCGGTCCCCCCGGGCCGCGGGGCGCCCCTCGCTCCAGTAGCCCGGGCAGCGGCTCTTGGCGTGCTGGGGGGCTGCACTCAGCACGTCAGCCACGTAGGCGCGCAGGCGGCCAGCATCATCATCTGTGTCTGAGGAAGAGATCCCTCATGCAGAGGAGCCCGGAGCAGGACCGGCTTTAGGAGGAGAGAGGGTATCAGGCCAGGCACCCGGAGGAGGGCAGGCCGGGGAGTCCCTGCTCCAGGGACACTCACCGCCTGAGCTTCCATGGCCTCGGCTCGCCCACCGCCGCCCAGGAGCTGGCAGGAGGTAGCAGCGGGCTCTCCTCCCTTGGAGCAGCCCCTGGACCTTGGGGTACTTGCCGGACGATTTCTAAAGGAGGGGGAGCACTCTGAGCTAGCTCCCCATACCTGCCCCATCTGCCCGGCCCTCTGTCCCCTCCCTCACCTGGATGATGTCGCCCATGTGACCCTGCCAAGCCTTGCTGGTGTGGGAGGAGTCACGAACTAAGAGGTCCAGGTGCTGGAAGAGAAGGGGTGCTGACAGCAGCAGCTGGGGCATCAGGGCCTGGGCTCGAAGTCCAGAGATGGGCTCTCACCTGGATTGGCACCATGCCATAGTGTCTGCCCATCACCTCGGCCACGTGGACAAACGTCTGGGGACAGGGCACAGGGGTCACGACTGGACCACTCAAAGGATGTGCCTCCCAGCCCCCAGAGGACACCATCCCAACTCCCAGCCCTGGACCCTCCAGCCTCTCCTCAGCCCCCAGCCCACAGCCCTTCTCCAGATTCACGAAACCCTGGGGCAGAGTCGGGCAGGACTCAATTCTGGTTGCCCAGTCCCCTGCCTCACGGTCAACACAGGGACAGAGTGCAGCCCCAGGCCAGCCATCCCCTCACCTCCAGGTGCTCCAGGTCTGTGTCCTTCAGCTCCTGGGAAGCTGTGAGGATCTGCAACCAAGGAGAACAAGGTGCAGGAGGGGCTGTGACGACAAGGAGATGCTGGGAGGACCCGGGCAAGGGAGGACCCTCAGGTGGACTGTGGGGCTCAGGATGTGGGAGGGATCAGCCAGGGGGGAACCCCTTGCACCCTGCAGTGGGGCAGGACTGGCCTGACCTGGGTGGGGTGGAGGGCAGGCCGGGGAATGGTCCACAGACCTTCAGCCTCCCCAGGGGCCTTCAACCAAACTTTAGGACAAACCACATTTCCGCCTTCCCTGAGGTCACCCCCTCCTAGGGGAGCCTCCAGAACCTGCTCTGGGGCCAAGGTGACCTTCCTTGGTGGGACCGGGCTGGGCTGAGATGGCCCTGGGAAGGTGGAGAGAGCCTTGAGGAGGTGGCAGGGCTTCACCTGGTAAGAGCTCAGCATGGAGGTGAGGGCGCACAGCCGGGTCCTCGTTTCCCTGCTCAGCTCTGGGCTCATGACGTCCCCTGTGTCCACCAGGAACACGGCCACCTGCGTGGAGAGCCAGCCATGGGTCAGCCTGCCAGGTGCCTCCCCAACCGTGCCCCTTCCCACCCTGCCTTCTCATCCTGGCCCCCAAAGTTTTCCTGCCCACCACCCTCTCTGCTGCCCGCCCCCCCCACACTGCCCGAGTCAGCCTGGACCCCTCTGTCCCTTCCCCCCTCACCTTCCTCCCCTCCTTCCCAAGCAGGAAGGGGTGGCTCCACATCCAGATGCCCCTGGAGAGGCCGTTGGTTCCCCACCGGAACCCCTGCCCGGAGCCCCCGCCCCTCGGCCAGCCGCCCTCGCCGGACGCCTGAGGGGCAGAGAAGCAGAGCAGCTTTGGACCATCCGGCCCTTCTCCCTTTGCCAAGCCCGGCTGGGACCCTGGTCCTGTCCCCCAGCCCCCGCCCGGCCCCGCGCTCACCAGGCCGGGCAGGCCCTGGAGCAGGTGGTTGAGGAGGAAGGTCTTCCCTGAGTGTGGCCCCCCCAAGACGGCGAGGAGGCAGACGGGGGTGTCCCTGGCCAGCGGGTGCTTCAGGCAGCGGTTGATGGCGCCCATCCGCAGGATGAGACCCCCCGAGGCGTTGATCCGCACCAGCAGCAGCGGCTCGGCCCGCACGGCGCAGGTCTCCTGGGCCCAGAGATGGGGCTCCCTGAGCACCAGGCTGGAGCCTGTCCGCCCCAAACTCCACTCCCTCAGTCGCCCCGCCCCAAAACCCCGCCCCTCCATCGCCCCGCCCCCTCCGTCCTCCCGGCCCAGGCCGGCTAGCACAGCTCCATCGCCCCGCCCCCTCCGTCCAGGTCCAGACCGGCACCTGCAGCGCGGCGGCGGGCAGCGGCCTCTGCGGCAGGAGCCTCATCCTCTCCCCCAGGCCCCGCAGGCCCTTCCTCCGCTTGCAGGTCTTGCGGCACTCGGGGCAGCAGGGCGGCCCGCAGCCAGGCACGCGGTGGGTGCTGAAGCACCGCGGGCAGAAGTCGTGGCCACAGTCCAGCGAGATGGGCTCACGTGGCCTCTCCAGGCAGATGGAGCAGGCGGGCGGCTCGCGGGGCGCCGTGGGCCGGGACCCCAGCCCCAGCTCCAGCTTGGGGAACGGCGTGTGGGACCTGGGGGCGGCGGGGGAGTGCGGGGACCCCAGATAGTGGTGAGAGGGGCCCCCGAAACAAGGAACCCTGGATGGAGCTGTCGCGGGTAAGTTCCCGCCCGGGTCTGGCCTGTTTCTAACCCTCCAGGAAGGGAGGCAGGGGCGGGCAGACAAGATGGTGCCGGTGTCCGGTATAGATGCCACGGAAATCCACCCCCACGGCCTCCTGCTTCGAGGGGAGGGGTCCCTCCAGGGGTCACCTACCCCTATCCCCTCCCTGCAGTGGCTTCAACACTCTGGGCCTGCGGACATAAGGGGGCTCCCGCGGCGGAGCAGATGGCTCTCGGAAGATTCCAGCGCTGAGCTGGCACAGGCTTCCTGAGGCACCCACCTGATTTCCCATCCTTCCCTCCACAGCCCAGTGGAGCCAGCCTGGTGTTACCTCCCCTGGGACAGGCCTCTGTGCTCCCAGCCAGCCCACCCACATGGCCCCCAACCCGCCGCCAGGCCCTCCACTTACCAACTGTTGCTGCTGTTCCCCATGAAGCTCCGTTTTCTCTCCTTGGAGAAAATTGGGGAGAGAAAACCCCAAAAATGTGATTTAGAAGAGAATCCAGAGTTCCATCTTCATCTTGGGTTTTAGGTGCCCCCATCCCCCCTCTGGAGACCCATCCCCCGCAAGGGGGCCCCTTCCCAGCACCCTCCGCCCCCGACTTCCTCCCCAGATCTCAGGACCAAGACCTTGCCTGTTTGCCAAGCCGGTGACAAAAGGAAATGACTGACAAGGCAGACCTCGGCATGGGAGGCTGGCAGGGGCAAGGGTCCTGGAGCAGAGAACAGGCCCTAGAGACCTTGCCAGCACTGAGGATGGCTCTTCTGGAAGCGCTGGTGGGGCTGTGGCAGGTGGAGGCTGGTGGGGGGTAGGGTGGTCTCCCCGGAGGAGACGACTGGGCAGGGCTGGGAAATGGATGTGACAGTCGGGAAAGAGGAGGCTGCCTCTGGACTCACCCCAGGGGGAGGAGACAGGACTGCGGGAACCAGGGCTCCGGAGGAGGGAGGGACGAGACAAGCCGAGCCGAGCTCAGAATCTCTGGCAGAGGCTGGGATGAAGGCAAGCGAGGTGGTGAGTCGCCATGGAGACGAGGGAAAGATAAGGACAGGGCGGGGGAGGGTGGAGGGAGAGCGAAACCATATGGGTGTGCGGCAGACACGGAACTAGGCTGGCACTGCCCCTGCTGGCCCAGCGGGGCTCTTCCAGGGCCGCGGGCTGGGGGTACAGAAGACAGAAGTGTGGGAACCAGGAAAGCACGTGGTGGGCTCTGACCCAGAGTCCCAGATAGTCTCTTTCCTCCTATGGACAGTCGTGGTGCTGGACATCTGCTGGGGCCCATGATGCTACCCACAACATGTGGCCTACAAGACCCTCCCCCACGGCGGTCCCTCCCCCAGGGTCATCCCTCCCCTAGGGTCGTCCCAGCTATGCCTTCCTCAGCCCCCTGGGCTGCTCTGACATTGGCTCTTTGTCACATGGTGTCTTCCTCTCCCACTGAATTATCCCTGGACCCTCTAGCTGCCTACTGACTGGGCCCCTCCCACTCACCCTGCAGTGTACAGCCAGCCCAGACCCCTGAGCACAGCTGACCCCTGGGCTGCTCAAACACCTGCCACAGCTCTGGCTCCGTAGGACCATTAGATTGGAATCCAAAGTTCCTGGCCTATACCCAAGGGCCTGAACCTCCCTGAGCAGCCCTCCCTCCTCCACCTCCAACCTCCACCCAGTGTTCCCTGGGCCTGTAGTGGGCCCCTCCCTCCAGAGACACTTGTGTGGATGTGTGCTAAGTCACTTCAGTTGTGTCCGACTCTTTGCGACCCCATGGACCATAGCCCACCAGACTCCTCTGTCCATGGGATTCTCCAGGCAAGAATGCTGGAGTGGGTTGTGTGCCGTCCTCTAAGGGATCTTCTCAACCTAGGGATTGAATCCAGACCTCTGGGGCGCCCAGCAAAGGCAGGGCACTTGGATCTGCATTCCTTGGGAGGTTGGGGGTGGGAGGACAACGTTTCTCACAGGGAGAGTGAGGTGGAGAAGAGGCTGGGAGCGGGGTGCGCAGGACCCTGCGCAGCCTCTTCCCTCAGTCCCTGTCCCCGGGCCCTCTCTGGCCCAGGAGGCCATTATCTAGCCAGCAGCCTCTGGGTACTGTCCAGTGGGTGAGCCCAGACTCAGCTGCATTTGAGGCTGGGACCCTCCCCAGCCCTGAGGGACAGCAGGATGTGCTGAGTACCCCGCCTCCAGGGCCACCAGTCCCTTCCCATCAAGGTGGCCCCCGCCCTGCCCTAAGATGACCTCTGGGACTGAAAGGCCCCCTCCACATCCCCCCTACCTCCAACCATTGGTTACATATGGTTTCCACTTCTGTGTTCAGAGCTGGTGGGGGGCAGTCAGTGGCAGAGGTGGCGAGGCCAGCGCCGAGCTCTATGCTAGAGAGGACAGGCCCACTGGCTGCCCATGACCCTGAATCCGACCCTGGCTCTACCCCTCCTGGCAGCTGCCAGGGAGGAAAGTCCAGTTTAACTCCCCAGCCTCCAGTCAAAGGCTTTCAGGCAGGAAATTCACTCCTAACTTCCTGAAATAATGTCATAGCAGAAAAATCATCCCACACCTGCTTAGCAATTTAGGGTCATGCCATGTCACCAAGAGCTGCCTCCCCCAGCCCCCACAGCACAGAGGCCCTGGTGTCTAAACAGGGAACCCAAGGCTGAGTGAGCAGGATGATCATGCAGTGCAGGCCCAGAGGGCAGCCTCAGCCCCCCAACCCCAGGCCTGTGCCGGCCATCGCCACCTCCCCCCAACCCATGCTGGGGGCTTTACACAGAGAGCCCCCAGCAACCACCCCCCAACCCAGGCCCAGACACCCTCATAGAGCTTCCCCGTCTCTCCTTTCCCCTATTCTCAGATCTTTAGAAAGTGCCTCTTCTGTACCAATCATGGAGTCGGCTGCCAGGGCTACAAGAGACAGATGGGGTCCTCACCCAGGGGAGCTCAAAGGCTGTGTTCAAACACAGAACAGGCCTCCACCCTGAGCATGGACATTGAAACCCAGGAGACTGTGGGACTGGGGAAGCCCCGCAGCCAGACTTGCAGCTGCTGAGGCTCAGTCTTGTGGGATGGGTGGACATTAACCCCTCTCTGTGAAAGGCGCTGGATGTTGCAGGCACGGGGAGCAGCCTGTGTCAAGGCCGGGATGGGGCAGTGCAGGGGAGTGTGGTCCGCAGAGCACAGACCTAGGGAGGACACGAGGCAGCTTTTAGACTTTCCTGACATGACGATGGAAACCTAAAGGAGTTGAAGCAGGAGGCATGTGACGAGATCTGCATCCATGAACCCACGCAGAGAGACTACAGGAGACCTGGCAGCTTAACCAGGCCTGAGACCTGTGCCCTAGGGACTGTGTCCAGAGTGCCTCCAAATTTTGCTACAGCAGGCAGTGCTGTGCCAGGGGCTCCTGCCCTGACACCACCACCCACCTGGTGGGGATCTTCACCTGCACAGAGCTCAACTCACACGCTGATCTTTGCCGACTTCAGCTACAAACAATGAAGGGTGGTCCCAGGCATGTCTGACTTGCTCTGGAGTTTTGAGGTTAACAGTCTGCCATGTCACCAAAAACAAACTTTTTTTTTCTAATTAAAGGGGGAGATTAAAGCATCCTAAGTGTCCAGTCACAGATAAATAGTTGATGATTTAAAACTAGATGCTTTAGCTGCAGGGTGGCGTAGGAAGAGCTGTTGTTGATGCTAGGCACCCAGGGGTCTGTTTTGGACTGAGCCCATTTCCAACTAGAATCCCATCTGTTCTTGCTTCTTTCCGACAATGGACACAGGTGGTCCCTGCTGTGTGCCAGCAGCCAGGCAGCCTACCGGAAAGGCCCTGGTGGTCAAGCTGAGCACACTAGGCTCCGTCCCCTGAAACAAAGGGCATGAGGACAAGAGTGGAGATTTTGTGGGGCACCTGGAAACTGCTGGGCAGAGGTGTGGTCAGTCAGAAGGGGGGCTCAGCGGCCAATCTAGAGGGGGTGAGAGAGGGCAGGGGGCCATGGACACTGGAGCCACCTCTTAACTCTCACAGCCCTGCTCTGTGGTCAAGGAAGTGGAGATTCAGAGTCACATGACCTCCTCACAGAGGCTTGGGGCGGCCCGCCTGGGGGTCAGGAAGGGGTAGAGAAGGCACAGTCCCAGCATGGCGGACAGGAAGGGGGGCTGCAGGGGCAAGACGCCCAGGCTGGGGCACTGACTGACTGCTGTGGGGATAGGAAGAGACAGTGATGACACTCAAAGGCCCCCTGAGGTTCACACTGGCTAGCGGGGGGCCAGCAGCAACCGAGGAACCTGTGCCATCATGCACCAACTTCCCTGAATCCGAGCCCATGCCCAGCTCCAGGCCCCTCCCCTGAAATCCCCCATTTGGACTCCTAGCCGCCCACCAGGTCTGGAGCATCCAGGCAGTCGGCCAGGATGCTGAGGATGCAGCCAGCTGGCCCCAAGGAACAGACTCCCCGCCACAGTCTCCGCCCAGCAGGGCCCGGCCCCCCAGACCCCTCCGAGGTGAAAGGCAGCAGCTCGCAGCTGGACAGCCAGCCAGCCAGGCTGATTGGGGCCGGGTCCCCTGCAGGCTCAGCCTCTGCATCCAGACCTCCACCGGCCATCTGGTGGCCAAGGCCGCCCCCAGATGGACCGGACCAGCTGGAAGGCCCTAGCAGCACCCAGGCCTTGGTTCAAATGCCAACCCTCCCCAGCTTGCCAGCCTGGTCACTCCCCTCCCTACAGCTCAGCTTCCTAACAGTAAAGTTAAAGATAACTATCTCCCCCCGCTGCCGGGTTATTGCCAGAGCCTGGCGTGCAGCTGGTGCTCAATAAATGCCAGCTGGGCTCACCTCACCTCACCATGTTTACCCCCTGTTCTCCCCACTGTTTACCCCCGCCTGGTCTCTCAGCCCCCTCCCCGTCCAGGGGGCCTGACCCCTCCTCTTGTCAAATAAGAGTCCTAGAGGTTCCTACAGAGGCAGGACCTGAGGGCATGAAGACTATGCCCCGCAGACAGAGTCCTGTTTCAGCTAGTTTGTTACTCTAATGAGATGGTCATGGGCATTTACTTGCTCCTATGGTAGGCTGCCATCCCATGGATGGCATCACCGATTCAATGGACATGAGTTTGAGCAAGCTCCAGGAACTGGTGATGGACAGGGAAGCCTGGTGTGCTGCAGTTCATGGGGTCACAAAGAGTTGGACACAACTGAGTGACTGAACTGAACTGAAGGTAGGCTGAGTCCTTTCAACGATAGAAACTCAATTCTCCCCGATTTCCTCCAAAGGTGGAATCACGGCTCCACTTTATAGATGAGGAAACTGAGGCTCTGCAGATGCTCACAGCCACGGCTGCCTCCTGCTAACCTCACTCCCTCACACACACACACATACACATACATAGACACACACATGTACACACACACACACACACACACACACACTTCTTCCTCTCTTAGCCCCTCCCCACCCTGTAGCCTAGACCTGAGGAGAGCGCTCTCCCCTCCCCACCCTGTAGCCTAGACCTGGGGAGAGCAGAGCAGCCATAACAGCCAGGTGCTCAGCAATCCACCACACAGCCTGTTTATTGATGAAATCAAGTGTGGAGTGAGGTTAGGTAACAGGAAGTGACCAGCTGACCCCAGAGGTCAGGGAGGATGGTGTCCAAATGCTGGAATCTGCTTCTGCTTTCTGATGATGAATCTGGCATTAGGAAGAG